GTAACGCAACTGAGGCCTTTTTTTAAGAAAAAAAAACAAGTCTCCACCTGATAGTTATATTATAGGTTAGGTTACCATAGCAAAGTTACATCTTCAAACATCCTCAAGAGCTATAACACATCTGCAGCAGAACTGGATATGAAGACAAAATTGCAGGACAGAAACACTTTAATTGTCCACTAATCTTCAGATTTCCTGCTATGTTTTAAAAAACTTTATTTGTAGAAACCTTTAGCGTGGCGGACAGCTGGCCGCCTTAGGCGGCTAGTTATTAATAAAAGCAAACGATGTATTTAGCAATTTATCTATTGCACCCATACACCGTTCGAGTGTCACGAAATGGTACTTTTTTGAATTGCCCGTACACCGCATGGGTAGTATATTTTCTAAGAACAATCCACAACCTACTGATTTGCTGGTTTTTTTCGCGTTTTTTTTGCAGTGTTTTTAAGAATACAATTGTAACCAAGGCGAGCTTGAATGGTAAAACGGTTTCAAGAGGCAGATTTTACTGCTTTTTATTTAGGTCAGGCTTTTAGTTTGCTCCGTGTTTTACCCTATTTTGCTATGCAGAATTTTTTCACCTTTTTATCTTAAAATGAATAAAGAATGGGTGGTAATAGTTGGTTCATAACAGAATATTATCCTGATATCTCCATGTTATAAAATATATCATACCAAAGTTGAATTTTGAAAAGAAATAAAAATTTAAATATCCAAAAATACATGTTTTTGCTCCTTCATCTAAAATAACTTACTACATTATGAAAGCAATTTCATCATTTCCAAATGAATACTAGTAATTTTGAAGCCTTCAACTATCACCTTTTATGCTTAAGAGCCGTTGTATTAATTTCGGATTCTATTTTAATACTCATTATAAAAAATATCCGAATTACAAGCCAACAAAAGCTGAAACAAAGAAAAATCTATACGAAACCAAGATACCTCATTAATAATCATACCGAAATTATTGTAGTAACCTGAATGGATTGCAATAACGGAGCTGATATGGCAATCTATTCAGGTGACTATAACATTAAGCGATTTTTGTTATAGACAAAACGAGTAAGATCATTACAAATGTATAAGTGTCGAGTTGAACGATTTCTGTAGTATAAGCAATTATGAAGTATAAGCAATAAGCGATATTCTGTAGTCTATTGTAATTTTAAGTACTTTTTTGTGATTTTATTGGTATTTTGGCTTTGAATTTCGACTGTTCATATCCATTTTATTTTTTGCTTTAAATAAGAACAATCCATCCATTGATGTAGAAAATTTTATTCATCTCTCACAAGTTCTTTATTTTACTACCCCGCTCTAGAGTGGATGTCAAAGGTAACGAGAAAAAAAAGAAGAGAGAGAGAGAGTCAAAATATTATTGTATATAAATGCTAGCATTATAATAATTAAGGATGAATGGTGGCAATCGCCTACCAGTAGTGTCCCTGTGCTCGAAACTGAATGTCTTTCTTTTCTTTCTTCTTGCTGATATTTTTGCAAAGACCATACATATAAAATAAAATGGCTCTTTTAAAGCCCCGGACAGTTTATTAACAGCTTCAGACAGCTTTTGCAGAGTGGTTGAGAGAATGGTGGATGATAGGCTGAAATTTTATTTGTTGATAAATAGTTACATCTTAGAGACTCAAGCTGGATTTAGAAATAACAAAAGCTCCACTGAACAAGTTATTCGTTTCTCTCAAGAAGTAAAGGATGGTTTTCACCGAATACAAAGCCCTCTGGCAGTGTTTGCAGATTTTAAATCTGTTTTTGATCTGGTTTGGAAATTTATGCCACTTAAATTTTAAAATCTGGGTGTCACTGGGTGCCTCTTTAATTAGATTAAATATTTTCTCAGCCATAAAGGTTTACTAGAGTTAACTCTTGAATAGTAAAATTTGGTTTTAGACAGACATGAAATAACATCCTACAGGGCTCTGTTTTAAATCCCTCAATTTTTAATATAATGATTAATGTTGTTTTCGAGGAAATTTATAGCATAAATAGGATCAAGATATTGCTTTACGCTGATGACTTTGTCAAGTGGTCAATATGGTTGTAGATTTAATTATAGACAGAGTTAGTAAAATAAAATCTATTTATTATAAATTAAAACCATGAAGAAGAAAAACACATCGCTAGCTTGCAATCAACAGCAAAATGACAGCGTTCAATAAATGAACGTCAAGAGCAACCATGACGTAGAGTTGTCAATATATTAAAATTCTTAACGACGAGACATCTTAACGACGTGCATACTTGCGGTTGCGGTAATGCAAACAATCAACAAGTTCAGATATACAAAATCTTGAAATATCATTAAATAATGCACTGATAAAGCTTGCTTAGTGGGTAGATAATAAGGAAACGTTGGTAAATCCTAAGAAAACTGTCAACTTTTTACTATAAGCATCAAAGAGCATTCGCTTCATTTGAACTTTAAGAACCAACCTCTGTTGAGAACTGGATGCACCACATAGCTAGGTATTGTGACGGACTTACTAATTTGTAATAACCATGCAAAAAAGAGAAAAGATTTTTTTAGATAGAATGAAAACATTAAAAAGCTCTCTGGCATTAAATGGGATGTGTCTCAGAATGCATTTGCAAATGTTTGCAAATCTCATGCCAGATTTATCTTAAACTATTGCTCTGAGTTCATAATTACCACTTCAAAAAGCGTTCTAACTAAACCTGGCAGCACATTAAATACGTCGCTTAATTACTGGAGCAACATATTTGACTCCTATTAAGCTTCAGACAAATATTGAACTCATATCTAATCAGAGTGATAAATTGGATCTGGGTCTGAGAGAAAAGCACCTTAGAAGTAATAGTCACTACTAATACAATTATAAACCTATTGTGAAAGGAAGATCTATTCTTTTATCTTAATATTCTTTTTAGACCGGATAAATAAAATCTGTGAAGGCTTGTGTTTATCCGTTATTGATAGATAACCCCTCACTGACACTCTTTTAAATAACCACCTTAAATTTGGTGAGATAATCTTAATCTCACTCTTCCTTGTTACTAGAGGACTTTTTCTGGGACTTAATTAACTTGCAATTGAAACTATTCATGAAAGATATCCATTGTGTGACTCACTCCATGTCTATTTTAATGAGTCAGCTGACTCAACTAAATAAATGCTAGTCAGCTTATTGTCAGTTACTTCAACTTAAAAGTCCAGTGAGGGTATTTTATGAAAACCTTGACGGGGCAATTTTTGCTGATAAGAAATTTAAAAAAAAATGCAATAAGCATTGCGTTCTTCACAGATTCCCAGGCTGTTATTCTGTCCTCGGTAAACAGGAAACATTCTTCCGAAGAGGTTCTGTGAGGAGAATTTATAAGCAACCTTATTTAAAATTAAAAAATTATTGCTACCCAATGGATCTTAAGAGATGTCGGGATTCCTGACAGCGAAGCAGATTCACTATCTAAATCAGCACTGTCTTTGTCACAGTATCACTTTTTCACACCATCTGAAGCACTAATCTAGACAAAATATCTGAGATGAAGATAAAAACCAATTGGAATTGAAATATATATATATATAAACACACATTAAAATTCTTTGTGGAAACTATTAACTTTCAAGAAGAAAAAAAGTTAAAATGAAGATTAGTGAGCAAAATGCTCAAAAATGAATCCTGTAAGTAAAACGTTTTATTTCAGTCTTTTATTTTATTTAGTAAAAGTCTAAATGATAAAATTAAATTATACCAGTATATTAGCTGCCCTTTTTCAAGACGCTAATAATAAATACAATTTTCTAACAGTTGCTTTGCTCAAGTTGGAAAATCAGGTGGTTCCCAACCTGTTTCCCTTGGTGATAACTGTGCTTTCGAAGGTGTGGTCATACACGAGCTGGGGCATGCCATTGGGTTCTACCATGAGCAGAATAGATCCGACAGAGACGACTTTATAAAAATATACTGGGAGAACATCAAAGAAGGTAAAATATTTATTCATATTTCAGAAGAAAAATAAATCTCATTTTTTTTTCATGCGAGTTTTTATTTAACAAAAATACGATCTACAGTATAGATCAAATTTTTCATAGATCAAATTTTAGTCATATAATCGTAAAGGAAGAAAAAATATTTGAATCGAACCTAACTATAATAAGCTCATTTTAAGCATATAGCCATTTACGTAAAGTTTTTTTTTCTTTTTTTCTTTTCATTATGCACAACGTAGTTCTACACAATTTTGTTCTTAGCCTTCAATCTAAAGTGATAAATTTTATATTTGGTTAGATATTTTATGAACCCTTCTCGTTTTCTCATCATTCTATCACTCATTTAATTTTAGTCATAAATCTCAAGAAGTTGACAATAAATTTCATTATATATATATATATATATATAAGGGCGTTTCGAAAAGTAAAGATACAATGGATCGCATTCCTTAAAAAAAACNATATATATATATATATATAACATGTATGTCTTCTCAGTCGTTAGTGATGGGGGGGCAGCTGAGATCCTGCACGGCGTTCCATATGACCGTCATGAATCCATCGATTCCATATTCTGTTAACAGTCTTGGGATCTCGACCAACGTGAGGAGTAATACTTCGGTATGATAAACCGCAATTCCGGTAAGCCACAATTTGAACTCGATCAAACTCAGACACGCCCTGGCAGGCATTTTTCCTTCTTACACGAGGCATAACCAAAACTTTTTTACCCCAGAACAACACTCAAATTCAATCTCTGTATGAGAAACTTACTGTCAAATCTTTTCTTTTATGCACAGTGTAGGTATCGCTACCGCCGCGTGCATGAACGCGCTGATTTGCATACCACAACATGCTTTATCCGTCCTACAAATTTCACGTTCGTGGTGTGTCACCTTGGTACCTGGTGTAGCAATTTTAATGGTCAGTAGTGTAGTTTTATCATTATTATTATTATTATTACTCCATATATAAATTATATGGTGCATATATATAAAAAAACAATAAATAAATTTTAATTCATTATTTATTTGTAAATTAAACATTACCTGCATTTAATCCATTAATAATTATTAACTTACAATAAAGTTTTTAAATATTTAATTTTTTAAAAAAAATGTTAGCTGAAAATGATAATGCAAAAATTCTAATGTTGGCAAAAAATGCTAACAAAATATAGTCATCTCACAAAAAAAAATCAGAGGATTAATGCATTATATTTTTTATTATTTCAAAAAGAAGAACAATCGAAACAATATTTTTTTTTGAGTTTGAGAACAGCTTCAAACTTTTGGTAAACTTATTGTGTAGAACAGCAACATGAAAGTATACTTTTTTTAAGACAAATGTGTTCACATTTGTTGAATAATGAGTATAACATAATTTACAGGCTCAGAATTCCAATTCAAGAAATTGATGCCCCACTTGAATCAACTACTAACGCCCTTCGACTATAACTCTATTATGCTGTATGGATCCTATACCTTCTCAAAAGATGCCAGAGGAAAGCTGAGAACGATGGAAGCACTGGATGGCAGTTTATTGCAAGAACCATTGCTGAAAGGGAAACTGAGTCAGAGAGATATAGAAAGAATTAAGAAATTGTATAAGTGCCCCTGATATTGGCTAAGTAAATAAATAAAGATAATTTATTAATCAATGGTTTACTTATACGAACCTAAAAGTTCCATCTTTAATGTGTATTGCAGGGTTATCAGTTTGACAACAGACATCGCATTTTTCACTCAACATCAACTTATATAATTTTAATTTGTGTTAGCAACATTATTAGAAACAGATCCGTAGCTCTGACTCCTCTTGCTGTAGATCTAATAATAAAAAGTACATTTTTAATATCACTTTGCAACACGTTATAATTGTAAATTATTACAAAAATCTTTATTTGTAATATGGAAGAGGGGACCACTTTTTAGCGATTTCTTGAAAAATGCATTTGTTTCATAATTAAATTTTGTAATGTTTGTAAAAAAAATTGCTTTGAAAATGGATAATTTTAAAAATACATTGAATAGGTCTATTTTCGGTTAAATCTATATTTTTTATTGTATTAGACAGTTTCCAAACTTTTATACGCCATGTATACCTTATTGCTATTTCGTTTTCTGTTTTTTTTATACATATATATATTGATATATATTGTTTGAATATATATCGTATAAATCGATACATATATGTATTGTTTTATGTACATATATAATAATAATAATAATAATATAAAATGACAAAACTTCATAATATCGAAAATGTTTTTATTTATATGCGTAATATTCAGTAAAATTCAAATTTCCTTTTGCATGCATTAGTTTTTGGATTTTTTTTTTCCTTTTCTGTGAATGTAAAAGCATATCTTTGTTCTTGACGTACTTCTTTAGCTTTAAAAGTATAATTCAAAATAATTGCCACATTTATCGTTTGTACACATCTATTTTTTTTCAAAACCGTTAGGTTTCTTAAGCTTCAAACGAACATATTCTCAAGCTTTAACGTATTAACAAAGACCTCATTGCTTGGCCCCAGGTAGACATATAACTAAAACACACATATTTAAAGTGCGAGATACCATTAGGCGGTCTGATATAAACCACATTGTGGAGGTATATAAAACACAGCTACGTTGCGGATATTATGAAAAATAAGATCACTAGAAAGTGCAGTAAATACAAAATACATTGCGCTGCAAGAAAGAAAGATTCAAAAACTTTTATATAAAAAAAGCCATTTATATTAACTTTTAACTTTTGACTTTTCATATTAACTAAAATTTTAATTTTTCCGAAAATAATTCAATTTAATTAATTTTAAATATAATCTTACCCTTATAACTTACTTGTTTCATTCAAAAATTATCTTTTAATGTTAAAAAAATCTATATCCATTCTCCCAAAGCGTACCAAATTTGAGGCATTTTGATATTTATGAAATATACAAATATTTTTCAAATTTTAAATTTTTGATATTGTTTGCATTTGACACTATTTATCACACTTTTAAAATTTAAATTCTAAAATTGTGATAAGATAGTCGGCAACAGTCTGTTCATCCAATTAATATTCGAGTTTACGGTAAAGAACATTTTATTTTTATGTTTTGGAATTTGAAACCTTTTACAACTAGTACGGTAAAAAAAAAAACATGAAGACGAAACTATACGGGTTTTTAACCATTAATAACTAGCATGGTTTTTAAACCAAAAAAAGAAATTTAGCTGGATAATGGAGCAAGGCTTTTTTTAGTATTGACTTGGCATTGGAATAAAGTTGTGGTAGAGTTGTGTTTTATCAAATTAATCATGCAATGGCGTTTAAATAGTTTATATGATTGCTTCACCTATTGTAAAAAATTGGAAATACTAGATTTTTTGAGTAAAGCAGCTTTAGGGCGATACCATCTATTCATGAATAAGAGTACCGTATTCTAATAGTTTAAGGATACAGACTGGGAAGTTCAGGATGCTGGAAACTCTTCATCAGTTGAAGAAAATAGTGGAAATATTTTGGTGTCAAAGCTGAAACTCGAAACCTCATTTTGTCGGTTATGAGATTGGCAGATTAGCCTTCTCAGCTAAGCTATAATATGTACGCATTTCAAAGGAACTTAGTGGCTTCATTAGGTGGGCCTACTTAGTTCAATAAAATTCTGGTTGTTTTACCGTAATAAGTGAAAATAATAGTTAATAAAGGGTTTTCTCACAATGGACAGTTTGAATACCATCTCATTTAAAGTCATTTGACTGCTTTGCTTAAATATGGTAAAATAACAATTAAATTAATTGTTATTTAAACATTTTTCCAATGAATGTCTAACAGTGTATGGCTAAATAAGTGATTTTCACTTGTTTTTTTTCTCCGATCATTACACAAGATCATGCATTTTTTTAATATCTATTTAATTTTTCTCAATATTACGAGAATGCGACATTGACTTTTCAACATTACATATTTTCTTAAGCCTGAATTTATTTATAGATGAAAAGTCTCGAAACTGATATGTATTTATGGTAAATCGATAGATACATCTATCTCCACGATTCTATCGAGAACACATGTTTTTTTTCCTGTGAATTACAGTTGGAGTAAAAGCTGTAAAAACCCATTCCTTCATTGTTTTTTTTTTAAATAAAAATGATGTAAAGTTTTGTTTCAATAATTTTAAGATCAATTTTTTTTGAGAAATAAAAAATTAAAATTGTCTTTACAAAATAAGTGTTTTTAATAGGAATGTATTGATTTTTCTGATGATTCACAATTATCTCTCTAATTTCTAGACGTAACTAATAAAACAATTGTGAAAATATAGAATTGTAATGATTCGTTAATCTGCATACGAGGAAAACAAGGTGCCTGATGACTATTTTCACTATCGGGACTTTGAAGAATAAAGCTTAGAGCGAAGTTGACTAAAGCAAGGAAAATAATCAATGAAATAACGCATGAATAACATGAATGAATAACACAGTGTATAATTTATAGGAATAGTAAGCTGGAAAAAAATTCGACATTAACAGGTTAAAGTTTATTAGTGTTTAACAATTATTGTCATTTATAATAACTTAAATGAAACATTTACTTTAAAAAAAACGAGTATAAATCTCATTAAACACATAAGACACAGATTTGTAACGGAAATAAAGGCGACTGATAAAGCTACAAAGAGTTTAAATTATTCAAAGCTGCTTCTATTCAGGAAGTTTAACAACGAAATGCGTTTCGAAAACTTCGTTTCAGAAGAAAAGCTTTGCAAAATCTCTATTTGCATTTTGAATGGAAATGCTCATTTTAAGCTAATTTAATTCCCGAAATAGAATAACTTCTCAGACTTTCATGTTTTGCTGTAAAGAAATTCAATAGCATTCCTATTTCATTCAAAAAATATTTTTCTATTGTAAATTTTTTTCTGCCAATGTTAATATTTTTTTCTCGTTCAATTTAATTCTTGATTTTGTTTTTTGCAAAAAAGTCATTAAAACAAAAAAACTGATTAAGAATTAGTTTAACCATAACGTTAGGTGTATAAGGATGTTCCACACTCACCGCTCCTAAATTATGATTTTAGACTATTTTATAAAGTTATGTGATAATTAAATGTCTGACTATTGTAGCATGTATTGCAAAAATGTATTCTAATTGATACAATAAATTCAAAAATACATTCAAAAATACAAATAAAATAAAAAAAAACATTAGTAAAGATAACAAAAAATGTAAATTAGAATAATATGATTAACCTTTATAGTGGGAATAAACTGGGAACATAAAAACATTCTCCAACCCTTTTATAGGATTTAAGAATATTTTAAAACAGTTTTTCAGGACTTAAATTTATGACTGTTGCAATTACAATGGCTTCCAAAAATGTATTTGTAACTGAGACAATAAATCCAAATATATAATTACGGTGTTTGGTCACCAATATGATATTTTTTCTACTCACTTTCAACAATTATTCATATTATTTTTTCAATTATTTAGAAAAATGTGACTGCCGAAAATCTCGTACATTAGTTTAATAGATATTGACTTGCATTTTCAGTCTTTGTTAACTCATAGTCATAAGAGCTATTACTTTCTAAGAAATTTTCGTAAAATTCGGAGAGTTTCTTGGTAATTTCTACTAACAGCTGTCCTCTTTGAGAAAGATGTCCAGTGCCCGGAATTGTATCGAATTTCAGTAAAATAAATAGAGTTGACCAGTAATTTTTACACCCTGCTCCCTTTTAAAAGAAGAAAAGCCCAGAGCCTTGTAATTATAATGAACTTTGTCGAAATTAGTATATTTTATCGTTAAATTAGTTTTGTAATTTAAGTTAAATATATTTAAGTTAAATATATTTCTTCTTATTATTATTCTTTTCATGTTTTTCTAGAGAAAAATTACTTTTGCACAAATATTTGTCGAGTAAAATCAATATTGTGAAAAAATATGGTTTAATAAATTAATATTTATTATGTACTTTTTACTCATAAAAATTATATGTAATTTACCTATATTACAGCTGTTTTATAAAGCATACAGGGGTTTAAATCTTGCTTTTGGTGGTTATAGCACCGAACTGCGGTCACAAATCTTGGGTTTAATCCCAGCTGCCAGCATAAGAAACCTTTATCACAACTCTCTTCACATTAATCCTTGGTGTTTAATTTTCATTAAGTTATCATTCGGATGTTTTCAACAATTCTAAAGATTAGCCATGGTGGCTAAGTTTTTACAAAATTAAGCATAAAAATATAAAGCAATGTACCTTAGAAAACTGTTAACCTAATATATATTTTAGGGAAGGGGTATTTAGAATTGCCGTATTATCATTTGTTTATTAGAAACCCATTCCTTTCAATTTTATATCCCAACTAATTTCATTTTTTTTAAAAAAAGTTACTTTTATTTAAATTTATTTTAAACCATGATCCTTACATTTCTTGAAAAACTCTTCTAAAGGTTCTAAATGTGATATTTCCTCATCATCTCTAATAAAATTATCATTCAAAAACAACTTTCCTATTTTGAAAAAGCTCCTCAACAGCTCCTCAAGTACAGACAAATTGCAGTTAACCCATTTAAGTTGTACATAAACCTTATTCTAACTTAAAGCCCTTTGTGAGTGCTAATGTTTAACAGATTTTGGCCATCGGTGACGATCCTTATTTTGGTTTAAGCATGTT